TCCCCAGCTCTGAGCTGTCCCGGCCCCTGCACCCCTTCCTGCCTGGGGGGATCCATGCCCCGCTCGCCCCGACAGGCAGGAAGGTCCAGTGCGTGGGCAGATGGATGCAGGGTGTGGCGGGCCAGTAGGGGGCGCTCCTGTGTTGAGCCGCCCACCTCCCTGTGCCCGACCACCTTCCAGGCTCCGAGTGCCTCCCTTGGGGTGCCTCCCGTCCGGCCGACCCCTTCCCTGGAGCACACCCGCTAGCCTGGGGGTCCCGCTGCCACCATCCAAGGCTCTGGACTCACTTCTGGCTCTGCGCACCTTGGAGAACACAGGCCTGATCGTCCAATGGGTGCTAGACCCAATACAGGCACTTGGGGCACTTTCCCAAGTCAGGGGCTGATTAGGGAAGCCTCCCTCAGTCCACCGACCTAAGGGGCCTCCTTGGCATAATTTAGACCCACCCCTCAATAAGTCTCCCACACCGGTCACAAAGAAGAACTTTATTGATTACAGGGGTAGGGCAGAAACAGTGTAAAAGGTAGAGCAATATCAAGAAATCTTATAGGAATATCAAAGGAATCCCATAGAGCAAACCAGGGTGGCTGAGGTAGCCGTTTCAACACGCATCTGAGCTACTGAAGCTAAATATCTGATCGGATCTCTAGTAGGTTACTCACTTGCATCATCCAGAGGTGGTTGTTGTTTCCTCTGGAGGCAGGGCACTCTTGCAGCATGCGGTGATGAGGAGAGAGCCCGTTCAGATTCACCTGGATGCCCGCATGGATAATGGCTGCCCTTCTTCCTGGCCCAGGCCTTTTTATCCCCTCTCTGACCTCAGCAGCCCGGTCCAACCGAAGCTGCCAATACTGGCCACAAGCCGACCCATCTCCCAAGCATCCCTGGCTACCTGGGCCCGTGCGCAGGGCCGGGTCTTCCCCCGCCCTGCCCAGGTGACCAGAGCATCGCCTCCCAGGCGCCAGGCTTTTGTCATGCAGACAAGATGGGAGATCCCCGCTGTGAGGGATTCAACACCAGCCTCTCAGGCTGGCAGAGACGGGTCTCTGGAGAGGGGCACCGACGGTGGCATTTCTGCCACACAGGGCACCTGGGCTCTGCTCCCTGCCCTGCCACAGACTCTCCCCGCATGCCCCTGGGGTGTCCCTTAGTCTGCACCTCAGCCTGGCCTCCGGCCCCAAGCCCAAGGGAGGAAGCCCCGTGAGCCTGGCCTGGCCCTGGACTCTAGGATCCTGCCCTCGCTCAGGGGAGCCTCCTCCCCATACAGCCCCGAGCACCCCCACGGCCTCCAGCCCGCACCAAGCGGCAGATGGCAGCTCCCAGGGGCTGCGGGGCCCAGCTGCTCAGCAGACTCGCCTGTGCCGGGAGGCTCTGCACCGCCTCCCGCAGCCCCGCCAAAGCCAGCAGTGCCAGCTGTTCTTTTATGTCCTGGTCAGGACTGGGCTCCTGGGTCCCTCGGTCTGGCCAGGCCTGGGGAACATTTGCGCAGACAGTTGGGAAAGAAGTGGTCTGGGCAGGGACCCAGGGACCGGAACGGAGCCCACCTGGAAAGCACCAGAGAGCTCAGGGAGGGATGAACCGGCACGGTCCCCTGCCTCTCTGGGCATGTCACAGGTGCATTTTGAAGCCCATCGGTTGCTTTATCAAAAAATCTCCACACCGATGCCATGGATGCAAGATCTGCTCTCCAAACTGCTGTTTGCTGCATTTCCTCCCTTTAATTCTTGACCAGTCCAGTCCTGCGTTAGCCATCTCGCTGTTTTGCCTGGGACGCACGTCACGCTGAGAGCCGTTATTACCCAGATCATCTTACTGACCCTTTTTAAGCACTGGCACTTTCCATCCTTTGGCACCAGTATCCCAGGAGCTCCAGAGAGCTCCTCGGCCTACTCTTTTAAAACTCATGGACACGAGCTATCCACGGCTGGTTTCGCTTTGCGAGCTGCCGTTTGACAGCCTCCGAGTTGCCGTTGAAGCGGAAGGTGTTTCCTTCCCATCCTGCCGTACGATTGTGTCACCTGGCGTTTTCCCAAGCAGAGCACAGACCTATTTACTGAACGCTTCTGCCTTGTCACAACGACGCAGCCAATTCCTACTGCTTGCATCTGCCGGTAGTAACGAACAAATGCCATTACTGGGATTCACTTTGCTCCGTCCCTCCCATATCGATTTTCTAGTTTCTAGCTTTGATTTAGATTCACCGACATCGATGTCTGCTTTTCCCCCCATGCATTAGTGCTCTTGTTGCATAAAGGTGGGTCCGTTGTTCCCTCCAACCCAGGCTGACTCCAGAACTGGAGTGGCCTCCTAACTCAGTTGCATGACCTTGGCTCGTGGGCACCTGGAAAGGCTTTCTTCATCAACTTCCAGCTCTCAACCACATCCCTCTATTTCAGGTTTTCCTCCCAGTTGTTTGGCTTACAATTATTTTCCGGGTTGTGAAGCTGGCCCTTCAAAGTGCCCAGTATAAGCGGTACCAGTTTGGGCATAACCCACACGACCAGTCAGGGTTACTTGTCGTGAAGAACGTGGCAATTTCACGCTTATGAACCACGTGAGTGCTCGGTCTCCCCTTGCACCGTGCCACCAGCCGCTCACAGCCGGGTGGACCTGGACCGGGGCAGTGGCTGGCAGCATGCTCACTGCTCTCTGGGCGTGCCTGGAAGATGAGAGCCCAGCACAGCTCACCCCACTAGCATCAAAGACACTGACTGAGGGCTTGAACAACCTTTGCACCAGTGATACCTGCCGTGCGACGCAATGGATTTGCCCTGAACGATTCCTCTTTTACCTGCTTCCATTCCCTTGTTATCTGGGGTCGCTGCAAGCAACCTCCTTGCAAGCACTCAGCTGTGCCTGGAGCCAGCCCGGGTCTCTGCAGGCTCCTGGTGCCCTGCTATGCCCCCGGCACACCTGTTCCTCGGGTCAAGGAGGTCCCTCCATGCATCTGTGCAGCCCCCCCGGGTAGCTTGTTGCACGCTACATGCTTTGATGGTAGGAATGGCGACACCGGTGCCAAAGGACTGAATGCCACAAGTTACTTGATTCCAGCTAGCGCAAACCCCAGCCACTCAGCTCAGAGGCACGGGGCTCTGCAAACCCATCGCCGAGCGCTGCTGGTTGCACCCAGGTCTCTGCCCCTAGCAATGACGGTGACTCCACGCCGGGCTCTGATGGAGCACAAGCCTGCTGAGCAGAGACAGCAGGGTGCTTTCCCACAGCTGGTCACAGCCTGCAGACCCCGTGGACACAGGCAAGAGGAGACCCTCGGCCGCCCTGCCAGCGGGGCCAAGGCGGCATGGGGGAGCCGACAGAGCTCCCTGCTCCGAGCGGCGTTGCAGCCAGGTCGAGAAGGGGCGCAGACTGACTGCCGTAGCGTGGCTGGCAAGGCAGCCAGTGCCCACTGCCTCTACCCTGCACACAAGAGGGTAAGAGGAAAGGCAGGAGATGCTTTGCTCATTTTACCAGTATAAATATAGCCCAGAGGCACTCGGAGAGCAAGCACAGACCCCCCCACCAGCTGCACCACTCTTCCTGCAGACTGAGCTTGCAGAGCGCCTGCAGTGCCTGCCTGCCCCGCACTGCACGTCCTTCTCCCCCTCCTGCAGACCCCGTCCCCCGGCTGGCCCAGGAAGCGATGCTGTGATGCCGTCAACACGGGGGCATGCACTGTGCTCAACACCCCAACTCGGAGCCCGCTCACCGCAGCGCGACCTTCCTGCAGCGCTCCAGGGCCTTGCTTGAAGCTAATGGACACCTCTTGCAAAGTCCAGTATTCGCGTCCTGGCTGAGCCCCACTTGCAGCACAAACCTCCCGGTTATTTCAAAGCAGGGAGAAATTCCCTGCCCCACCTTGGGACTGGTTCTGCACTGCCCAGGCACGGTGCTGGGAGCCCCCACCCCAGGGTCCCGTACCAGAGAAAGCAGGCCTGTTTGCCATGCCCCCCCAGAAACTACAGCGCCTGGCAGGAGCTGCTCTCAAGGTGCCGGTGGGGCTCACTACAACCCCCCCATTGCCGGTGCGTGCAGCAACCGAGGCCTGGCAGCTGGAAGGACCTTGCCCCTGCAATCGGGGGTTCACACGGTTGGGGGTGGGGGCATCTCTGCCTTGATCAAGACTGAGGCAGCTCAAGCGTCGGACACGGACGTGAAGCGCCTGGCCTCCGGTGCCGGGGGTCCAGGAGCTGCACCGAGTATCCTCGTCAGAGCCACAGCGATGCTGCACCGCAGGCCAGGGTACCACCCGCGAGCACGGCAGCAGCGAGAACCTCTTCAGCTTATTGAAGTCCTCTGAGCCACACAACCCCTCTCCGCCTGGGACCCGGGCTCATGCCCACCTCGGTGCCAGGAGACCTAGGATAGCCGCGGCCACGACCCGCTGGGGCAACTACCCAAGTCCAACAACCTCCCCCAGGAGCTGCAGCCCCACAGGGCCTCCGCACAGCTCCTGCTGTACCAAACCCCTGGACAGGAGTGGCAGACAGCCGAGCCCAGGGCTGCCCGGGATGATGCTGGAGCACAGGACCACGGCAGCACTGGGTGCCCCGGTGCAGGACAGGGAAGGGAGCTGGTGCAAGCCCTGGGCTGCGCCCTGGCCACCCTGGTGCGGGCAGGGACCGCCCTCGGTTGCTGCATGCTTGGAGGACCTCAGAAGAGGCCTCCCGCCCCATGCCACAGAGACAGGAGCAAAACCCACCGCGGCGGCCAGCTGGACACAGGGGAACAGCTCCTTCATGGTCCCGAACCTGGGAATGGGTTTCACCCTGGACGCACAAACGGGACCCTCCAGGCAGGTCCTGGAGAGGCCTCGCAAGGCACAAGTGCCTCCCTGCCAAGCCCGTGCCCCTCCTGGTGCGCCCACCGGCAGATGCCTCAGGCAGAGGGTAAAAAATAAACCCCCCAGAAGCCAAATAAAGCCTCTGTGGAGATATCTTCCAAGGGTGGGGAATCATGATGGCCGTGACGGGCTGCTCCAGTGCCTGGTTCCCCGACCGTCAAACCTGCGTGCCGTCTCTTGGCTGCATTTGTCATTTGTGCAGCTCCGGCTTCCGGGAACTGGGCCGCGTCCTGCCGCTGCCTGCCGAATTCACCTCCGTTCCCTGTTTGGGGCAAACCTGGAGACACGATGCAGGTTTTCCAGCTTCACCTCATTCCTGCGGCTCCCTCCCGAGCCCTTTCCGATGCATTGCCATCCTTTAAACAACTTTGGAGGGCAACACTGCATGCAGGACGCACGAAAGGTCTCCGTAGGCAGAGGTAACCCCACCCCGCAGCCCCCGGGGATACCCCAGGTCACACTGGGAGCTCGCGCTCAGCTGGTTTTTATCATGAATACAAGCGCTTTTCAGTCACGGGCTTCCAAGACACGTCCCCGTCCCACACCCAACCAGCGTGTCACTTCCAGACGTGTGGCCTCACGCTGGTCGCCAGCACATGCACAGGTTGTGCCGTGGGATGAAGTGACTTGCCCAAGGTCACGCTGGAAGTCTGGCAGGGCTGGAACCGACACGGGGCTCAGCCCAGGACCAACCTGGTGTCTCCGACTCCAGAACAAGGGAAACGTCATTAGCTTAACTCGTGCATTTGCTGGTTGAACGCCAGGAGCTCCCGCTCAGCCCAGGGGAGACAAAGGCAGCACCTGTCAGGGCCAGCACTACGGGCTCCCCCGAGATGCATCCACGGCCTCTCAGGCAGCCCCCAGGGAGCGACCGAGGCCCAGCCAGGTCCTCCCTGAACATGCGGTCGCCCGGCTCCAGCTCTCCGGGGACTCACCGGCTTTGCTTGCCCCTGCAGCAGAGCCTCAGCAGGACCGCGAGACGCGGCTTGTGGTGCAGCGAGAAGACCCCCGGCTCCTGCTTTCTGTCCTAACCTGAGCCAGGGTTCGCCCCACACCAGGACAGCAAGGCGCACTCTGGACAACCACGGCTCGGCTCTGCCATCTGGCCCCGACCTGTGCCTCGGTCTTTCGACCACGGTGCCCGTTCTGGGACCAGGGCAGGCAGCCCTGCCAGGCCGTCAGCACTCGGCCCTGCCATCAGTCACGGGGCTGGAGGCCATGCTGGCTCACAGACCACAACCTCTGCCCGGAGGCGGTGGCCGGACCAGGAGTCTTCCAGGCTCCAGGGCAGGTCCAACAAGGGTCCGGCCCAGACCACGGTGCCGGGAGAAAGGCTTCGGCTTTGCAGAGCAGGAGCATTCACACCACGGCGCTGGCATCCTAGAGCCTCGGGGCTGCCAGCTCCGCACTGAACGGCCTCTCCGTCAGCTCCTCCTGCCACCCTGCCCTGCTGCGGGCAGCTAAATTTAGCGTGTGCACATCTGCTGCTACCCCAGGCCCGAGAAACCTGGCCCCGTGCCGCATGCCTGCCATGGTCACGGGCACATTCCTGAGCCCCTTCCCAGTGGGTGAGGAAAGCAGCCCCCTCCCACCCGCCCGGCGCAGCGCAGCGCGTGCAAGCCCCAGCCCTGCCCTGGGATGAGAACAACGCCTGAAAGACGGGAAGGAAATTCCTTGCCTTGCCCCCGGCCCCGGCAGAACATTGCAAGGGCTCCATTGCACCCAGCAGCGGCCGAGCCTTGCAAGCAGCCATATCGGGGGCTAGAGCAGATGGACGGCCAAGGCCAGGACCCTTCTCCAAAGCTCCAGCTGCCGCCGCAGGGCAGCCCTGAGACCCGTCTGAGGCCAGGGCAAAGCCTCCTGCACCCTCCACCAAAGGAAAGCAACAGTCCTGGTGCCCCTTTGTTCCTATGCAGACCCCGATCCAGCTGCACATGCAAGACCCCACATGCTTCCCTGGGAGGCTGCTACGCGGCACCGGCGAGGCAACCCAGAGCAGGGGCCACGCTCCTCACCGGGGGCCCGTCCAGCGGGCAAGGGGCACGGCATGTCGCGCCGGGCAGCCTCGCTGCTCTGCGTTTGCCAGCCGAGGCCAGTGTCCCCTCCTCTCCTTGAGCTAGATCCACAGGTCCCTGGCCGCGGGCGAAGGTGCCAAATGTAGGGTGACGCATTCAATTAGATTCACCGCTAATGAGATTTCCTGCTACTTTGCTGCTTAATTAACTGGTGAGAGGCATGGGTGCCCTCGAAGCAGAGGGCAATAGTTGGCAGGGCCTCTGCTCGGAGCACGACCCCGCGCCAGGCAGAAACCCTTGTTCCCGGGCCGCCTCGCGCCGACCGTGGCCCCTGCCCAGCCGGGGGCCCAGGGCACAGACCCCGGCTTCAAGCTGAGGCCCCAAAGCCACGTCTGTGGCTGAAATGCACGTCCCGAAGGACAGCCTGGGGCCGTGCCGGGCACGCAGCCTGGGAGCTCCCCTGCCTCCCCGGCAGCAGGCACAGAGCTGCAGCATCCCTCCGACCTCCGCGCAGCCTCCGGCGCCGCGCACAGCGCAGCAGCCTGCACTACGGCCAGGCGGGCCGACGGCGATGCTCCCCCGTGGCAGCACGGAGCGGCGGGGCCGGCTGGGCACCGTCGTCCCCGTCCCTCAGCACCCCCGGCAGCTCAGCTGTCCGAGAGTGACTCAGCCCGGCGCGGCGCTCCGTGACTCAGCTGCCACCTCCCACGTGCCGCGCTGCCGGAGCCTGTCTCACCACGCTGCCGGGGAGGGAGGGAGGGAGCGGAGCCCGGGGCTGCACCTGACGCCTGCCCCACCACCTCCCCCGTGGCGCCGGGCGGGCAGGGTCCCCGCAGCCCAGCGAGGGGGAGCAGGACACGCGAGCTGGAGCCTCCCCAGCTCGGGGAAGCGTGGGAGACACGCCGGCACACATGAGACCCAGCTGGACCATGGGGTGAGGGCAGAAGCATGCTGGACACACGTGGGACCCAGCTGGGCCGTGAGTCGCAGAGCCGTGGGGCTGGCAGGGAGCTCCAGAGGTCACATCCAGCCCAACCCCGGCCCGAGGCAGGACCAGCCCTGCCCAAATCGGACACAGTCGCCCCTGCCAGCCCCGGGCATCACTCCCGCCCCTGCCACCAATGTCCTGCTGCTGCAAAGGGTGTTCACATGCACTCAAGAAAAAAGCTCACACACCCCACTGCAGAGGAAGGCAAACCTCCCCAATCCATACCAGTCTGACCAGCGGAAAAACTCTTTCCTGACCCCAGATATGGTACTGAACGTGCCCTGCTCCCAGCTGACCTGGCACTGATGCCACGAGGCCTCGCCGAGCCTGCAGGCAGCCAGGCACGTCCAGCCAGGACGTACCTGCCCTCCTCAGCTCCAGATGCCCAGCGCCGACACGGCCAAGCATGCCCCCGTTGACCATGCACAGAGGGAAGAGGATGCTCCACCGCCCCCAGCACCTCGCGGTGCCCAGCGGACCGAGTGTGGGTGAATGCACAGCTGCGGGGAAAAGCAGCCTCTGCTCCCACTGGACCCATCAGGAGGAACCACTGGAAGCCACGCGAGCCCCATCCATGACAGCCGGGACCAACCATGGAGGAGAGGGACCCGCGACTGCAACCGGGTTCACTTCCACGTGTCAAGGTCACAGGGTGCGGAAAGGACATGGAGGGGGAAGGACAGGGGCTGCCCTGCACCGCAAACGCCCCTCGCTGCTCCCGAGGCACAGGCAAGCGCAGAACCACGGGGCCCTGGACCCATCTGGATCCGTATGCGAGCTGACAGGCCCGGGAGGGCACCCACGGGGGACTTGCAACGGGAACTGCAGTCGGCCACGGCCTCGCGGGTACCAGCTCCCTGCAAGGCGAGCCAGCGGGCCCAGGAGGGCTCCCGCAGGGTCTGTTAGAGAGGTTGGATTAAAGCAGAGAACAACGCGAGTTGCTCTGTAAGCACCTCTCTGTTGTGCATGGAAAGGGAAACCCTGGTTGCGGGCACTTCTCCTTGGGGGCACACATCAGACCCGCGGGCGGGCATCATCAGACCACTTCTCTGGGAGGCACGATGAATTTCTAGCACAAAGGGGCAGGAACAGGAGGTTACTCTATGCTGGACCTCGCTCGGATGGATGAAGACGAGCCGGCAGACGCCTAGGGACCGCAGATCAAGACCCGACTGCATTTGGCCTGGGCACAGAGAGGGCTGTCCCAACAAGTACGCACGTGAACTTACTTGGTGCTTCAAAGGGCGCAACCCTCCCACAGCTGGAGAGCAGGTGAGCAAAGCCGACTGGGTGGGAAGATTAACCAAAAAACAGGAATGAAAATTGGGAGCCCTTTAAAAAAAAAAAAAAATGCTTTTTGGTAAACCAAAACACCCGCAATTCACCGTGTAAAAAAAGGACGACCTTGGCTTAAACCTCAGCCAGATTCAGCAGTAACGCAAAAGCTACAAACAGGAACTAGAAAAGGAAGAAATAACAAACAAAGAGGAAACAGCAATCGGTATAACTTGGGCACTGTCGAAAATTGATAAGGGAAGCTCAAGATGAGAGGGAAAAAAAGTGCTAAAGCCAACAGGAAGGTACTTTTTCAATGAATTAGAGACAAAACTTCCTAGAGAGGATACACATCGATAATACAGAGATGGTAAAAATGCCAATAAGAACACCGAGAGAGCACGAGCCTTCGACCAGCCCTCCTGCTCTGCATCTGGAACCAAGCAGGGCCACGTCCTCGCAGACGATGAAAACAAGAAACGATTTTCTAGACTATTAGCAACTCAGAAGGATGTCAGCATCTACGAGAGATCGATGTTTTCCAACCAGGACGTACGAGCTGCAGCGGTGCCATGCGAGAGACCTAGAGGAGCTGGCAGAGGGGCATCTGGTCTGCTGCCGATGGGCATTTTCAATAAATCTGGGAATAACGGAGAGGTTCCTGGAGCGCCAGGAAAGCGCCTACGTCACACCAACGCTCACGAGGGGGCGTGCGCTGTGACCCCAGGCACAACAGGCAGCCCGGCCCCAGTTTGCTCCCAGACAAAATAACGGAGAAGTCGAAACAAGGTTTAATTGATAAAGGAATTAATAGATAACAAAATAACTGCTACCGCCAGCACGGCCTCATGGGAAACAGGGCTTGTCAAACAAACTGATTGCCTTTGGAGGGGAGACCGCTGGCCTGGCTGATAAAGGTAACTGCAGATACAAGCTATTTGCCTTTCGGGAGGAGCGTGACCGAGTGCCACACAATGCTCTTGCTCCAGCCAGCGCCGAGCAGTTGTGAAACCACATGGGACCTGGGTTAGGACACCGAAGCACAGGAGCATTGAGTCCGATCACTGCATGCGATCCAAGGACAG